TAAATTGATGAAATTTTGTACCACTGCTTTTGCTATTTATCTGTCTGAATCAGCGTTCTTGCAAGTCTAGTATGTCATTGAATGATACAGATACCATCATAACTTATATTCTCCCATTTAAAACACCTTTTCCTTGCGAATTTCGAAACAATTTGCTATTGATTTTGCTTTAGCATGTTTAGTTTAGGGGCAATCTGCGCGAGGTTCAACTTTTTAGTTCAGTTTCTTGCGCATATGCAGTCTCAAATAATGATCACGTGATCACACTTGACCAATTGAAAATGGTTTGAATCAGGTCTTAAGCTACCGGCCAATCGTAGGACTCATACTGATTACTGCTCGGAAATCGAGTATTGTATAAATTTTTGTCCTATCACATGCCTCGTACTATTTCGATCAGAAATCAACTTCCGGGAAGGAAATTTCGAAAGAAAATTTTATTTCTTTTAGAAATAGAATTTTCTTCAATTATTTATTGGATTCTGACGAAATAAAGAGACTGAAGGTAAGATCTTTATCAAATCATTCATCCAAAGTTGATTGTATGAGTATGGCTTGCACTGCGTCCACAAAACGCAATCACTTTTTATTTCCGGGTCCATGGATTTTTCATTACGTTTTTGCAATACTTGGACGGCGTTATTGAAATAGCAGCTCTGGGAAACTTGAATAATCTATGAAAAGTTAGACAATAGTGTAGTATAGTGATTAACCAACCAATCATATATTAAGCTGATCTGTATATGACACAAATTCCAAGAAGTCTTATTGGAAATTGTTTTTTTAGATCAAAACTATTTTTATTGGAGGAGTAAAGGCTCTTTTTAAGAGATTCAAAGTCAAACTCTGACAAAGGGTTTCAGTCTACAGAATCGTGAGTTTTATTTGAGATGAAGTTGTGTGACGATTGCTCTTCAGTTATTAAAGTAGACGTTCTCAGGGTATTCTATATTGCTTTAGGCTCTTCTAAGATATAAGTGTCTGACAATTGTATGTATTCTTTCACAAAAATAATATATTTGCTACTTGTATTTCATTTCACATTCCATTGATTTCTACCTGTAAAATGTACTCTTCTGGGAGGTCTTGGTGATATTGGAGAACTTATGCCTGATTGCGGAATATGAGGTGTTATGTTTCTGGTGTCATTTACTAAGGTTGCTATTGTTAAAATGTAATTAATACGAATGTGAAGAGGATAATATTTGTGGTTGGAAATTAACTTGGGTACGAGGGTTGTCCCATAAATCCCATAAATTTTTTACTTTAATTCAAAAAGTTTTAATGAATTTGGCTGAAAATTGGTATGTATCAAGATCAATTTTTATCATTGTATCTCAAATATACTATGAATTTGACTAAAAATTTCAAGACTTATGGGACAACCCTCGTATTTTAACCTTTTTAAGTGATGTCATGTTTTGAAAAAGAGTTTCATTTTCATTTTACTATTTTCGAAATTCGCCGAGAATAACAAAAGTCATGTCACAACATATTTTTGCCACCCTCTCCCTGAACAACTTCGCCATATTACAAGATGGATAGGGAGGGGGGGTATATGGGATAGGCATATTGGGGTTAATATAAGACTCATTTACTTGAGAAAAAACAATTGGATGTACCACAAAAATAATGCTGTTCTTTTGTATATGTCACTCAGTACCTCAAAGACCTTAGAGCATGATCTTAAAAATGTCTATGTCTGTCCCTTTTATATAGTAAGTTTTCATTGTTGTGAATTAAATCTATGGGAATGAACTGCAAAAAAGCAGTATGTTGACAATCTAAGGTATTGCTCATGGGAAAGTTGCCATAAGCTAAGAGAGCAAAGTGAGGACTATTATTTCTTCAGATATTAAAATATATACTGCGGACAAACAAGTGTCCAGGATATCTCTAGGATAATCTCTCACAAACACTTTCAAACCAATATATGACACAATTATCTGACCCCCTCCTTAGAATAAAATTGCAATTCTGTAATTTAAAATCATGAACAAAAGAAAGCAAGAGTAAGTCTTACTGTTACCGACATATAGTCTTGAGCGCTTTTTCAAAATGTGGACCTTGTCTAGTATAACTAGCCAGTGAGAATCCAGGGTGCTAATAAGATTATGGATTGCAGATGGTTCACTCTTCTTAAGAGGATGTAATTACTTCTAGCCTCTGGGCTCAGGGTATAGACTTACCTGAATATTAAGAGGGAAATATGAAAGTCAAACATATTTCAAAAATTATACTGGTAACATATCTCAGAGTCTTCAAATGGAGGCTTGATAAGGGTAGGATTCTCAGAAATATATTGATAATAGACCTCCTGTAGACCTCCTCAATTGATTTAGACAACTTTAGTTAACTTTCTTGGGGCAGTTTAGATCAGGTTATGTTGAACATGCAGTTTCAAATTTACAGGGGAAATCTTTAATAATTAAGATCTAATTCTAATAATAGAATACAGAAATATGGCATTCGCAAGTCCATGAATTGAATTGTCATGTTTCAAAATATAAAATACATTGAAATTGAGAAGAGAAAGGAGGTAATAAAGTTAACAAGTTAAAATATACCTTTAATTGTTATTTCACCACTTTAAATGGTGACATTTATAGTTTCCAACTTTTTGTGGATGGGGTTCGGCATTTGGCGTCTAACAAATGGCATTCAGCAGTTGGTTTCTGTAACAAATGGCAGATAGTGACATTTTGCATGTGAATGCCTTGTTTCAAATTATAAGAACATGAGACACTGGAAATCAGTTGAATAATTATCCCACCAGAGGATTGCTGAGGATAGCTAACTATCTTCATTCATTGCTCTGGGAATTTCAAACTCAAACCCATAGGACATCATTTGTTTAACATTCAAGTGTCATGATGTTTGGTTAATTAATGTCAGGATGATAACCTTTGAACTTTTCTAGGTCATCTTGACTCCAAATAAACAGTTTGACTTCCTCACATATTTTTGGGTTGAAGAGGGGAGAGGTCTTCTATTTTGCCTCAAAATGTTTGGGTTTAATGATGAATTTTGTATATTTGACAGCCAAATACTGTGATTTTGGCCATTTGGGGGAATTTTCTACTTTCTAGATCCTTCCCCATGTATCATATATGTATCATAGCTTGAGCTGAAGCAAGCAAAAATAATATAAGAAATACTTAATTAACTAAAGAATGATGCTAAGGAATTTCCTACATGTTTGGCAGTTCAGAACCAAGAATCCACCTCCCTCAAGCAAAAGACATGTATCTATCCCAGAATCCTATTCATGATATAGCCTCTTGATTGGTCTATTCAATCTTGAGATCCATTGTTAGAGGATGATGGATTACCTCCTTTGTTTTATAGGGTTATGTTGATTGTTGTTTTATCTGCTGGGATTTGAGATTATATCTGACATTTTGTACAGCTGTTTTACAATCCTTTAGAGCCCAGTAGAACACTGGGGATAATCTCAGAATTCATTAATTGTCATCTATTTCCATATCTGTTTTATTTTATGGCAATCTAATGCTAGGTTTGAGCATATAGTGCTATCATACACATTTGATATGTTGCTTTGGACATGTGCTCGTCTGTAGGCTTTCAAAAAGTTATCTATTGGTTTTCTACAATTTTTGTTTTTACAAATCCCCATGGTGCTTCTAATCCATTTTGAGGTCAAAGAATTGTATTTGTTGTAACTAGGGAGGTCTGTAATTAAATTCTTGTGTAGTTTTATGTAATTTCATTACCATATTTTCAGAATGTTATAAATAGCTTCTACTCAAAACTTACCAAAGAAAGATTATTGCCCCATTTTCCCAAAGACACATTAGCATCCTTGTTTTGTTATGCCTTAAACTGACATTTCAAATTCTTGAAATATTTTCTTTAACTTTGACTCATCTTAAGATTTTCATGAAAAGTCACTATGACCTTCATGTGACCTTGAACTTGGGAATAAAATTTTGTGAGTTGACAATAATTAAAATTAGCAAGAAATATAGTAAACAGGGATAAATTTCATATTCAAAAAAAGAATATGCGAAAAATTGACAGTAACATTACAGTTAGATATAATAGCACTGTTGATATGTGTTAAAATATCAACGAATCAGAGAGCGAGAACTTATTAGGAACATCATGCTTATCAGCAACTACCAGTGCTGATGATTTAACACAATAACCAATATAATCAAAATAATTTCATTCCCATTGCATATATTTTACTTCACTTCTCTCTAAAATTTGATTGAAGTGTAAAATTTTCTTGCACTTCTATATAATTTAGAATATTAGCTATAAGCCTGTTAATTTTATTCCTCAGGAATTCCTGTCCATCATGTAGTATTTTGAATTAGAAAACATGATCGTCATAATATCTGAGAGGGAATGTCATTTATTAGCTCATAGCACAATGTACGTAGCATATTGGAATTAATATATTGGATTTCAGAGTACAGTTGCCATTGGTTCTCAGGCAGGAAAGTCAGTTTTTCAGCAGCAGCGATAAATAAACTTTGTTTTGGGGATTAACTCGTTTAACCTAATCTGGAAAATCTCAAAGATTCTCACTCATTTAGTTAAGGCAGATATTGACAGTAAAGGCTGGATTAAGATATAGTTTTTAGGAGGTTAATTAAATATAGAGTTTGATTCAGGAGTTGCGGAGTATTCAATTTGAGGACTGTCGTTGTAATAAGACGTCAATATTGCTAATGGACTGGCGTGTAACTACACTGAAGGAGTGGATGAAACTTTAAGAAAATACTGGAAGTTTGCAGGAGTTGTTAAGAAAGGAAAATACAGCTGAATTTTGGAACGGTTTTTAGAGTGCAACAAACCTCTAGGATTTGAGATCTGAATCTAGTGTTTTGATACAACTCTCAGAGTTTTGGACGAAGAACTATAAATACAAAAGATTTGAGACAATCTGAATAGTACAATGGCACAATGCTTATATATTGATATGGATTCTACAGCTAAATTAACATTTCTGATACTTTCTGTGTTTTCAGTATATGGGCAAGATGATATAGTACTGATTGAAGGACCACGAGACAGAGCTGTGTTATCTGGACAAAATGCTGAACTCACATGTCACATTAACACAATAGCATCTGGGACTCATGTTGTACAATGGCTTGGTAACTCTCTTCGAACTGGAACAGGAAAGCAGTTAACTTTCAATGATAGAGTAACAGCTACTGATATACCAGACAAATTTTCAGTTTCTACAGAAAAGCCTTATAATTTAGGACTCCGAAGTACTGATTTAAATGATGCAGGGAAATATTCTTGTAACAATGTAGTAAAAGGTCAACCTATTGGGGGTTTGGAGCCACAACTTGTAGTTTTAAGTAAGTACATATAGTAACACATCGAGGCAGTTACAATAGTATAGTGTTAAGAGAATTTAGAAATATTTTGATTTATATTATTCCGTATCACATATCGGTAAATCCTTGATTTAAACCTGTTATCAATTATTGCTTAAATTCATCCTCCAGTGTTTCATTACATTGAAAGCAAAAGAAATTTAATTTTTTACCCTAAAATTACAAGAGTGAAGTTAATCTGTATTTTACAATTCCATGTTTTATTTCAGAGCCAGGAGAATGTCCTATGTCAGGGACTGTAACTTTCAATCAGAATGACACCATCACATATGAGTGGTCAGTCACATACGCAGGAGAGCGAGATGACAGCCAAAAACCAACCATAACATGGACACTAAATGGTATTGAACAAACAGCAACAGCAGATGAGACTACCCTTGGAGTGTACAAGTCAACATTTACAAAGGCAGCATCTAGTGTTGATAACCAAAAAGAACTAAATTGTTCATTTACTGTCTTGAATGTCCAGGAACATTGTTCAGCCAGGCTGAATATTCAATGTAAGTATTTGTATTAATTGATATCGAGTTCACTAATTCTGATCAGCATCTAAATCTGTCATCCCAATCCTGAGTTCAAAATCATATTTTATGATGTTGATAATCTTTTATACACAAGCCACATTTTTTTTGGTACTAGTAAGTTACATGTTTTGTGTTCTTTTAATTCTGCCCACATTACCTTTTATATTTTTCTTGATCTTTTCATTAGACATGTTTACCCTCAACCCAAAATACTCATTGGATAAGCAACCCAAATTAAAGCCAAATCATATTCAATTATTAAACTGTTTTTCATTTGTAATAAGTATATTTTGAAGAAGTAACAAGCCATGTTGCCCTCCAATAGGGACAGTTTTATGTCCTTAATCATATCTCATCTAATCTGACATTTATTGCCGTATTGATTATTTCAAGTTCAATGGTTGGTCTGTTATAACATGTATTATTATACATGTGTTTTGTATGTACATCCCTCATAAACTATTAATATCAAATATAGTATATGCTGGATGTGTTTACAAATGTCTGCTTGCTGTGAAAGTCTTGAAGAAGTGTTGACATATTGTTATAAACTCCAACTTTTTTGTGGATGGTATTCGGCAGTTGGCATTTGTCTGTTGGCCTCTGTAACAAATGGCAGGTGGTGATATTTTGCATGCTTATGGCTTGTTTGTCTTTGTCATTTTAGTAAAACATACTCATTTTTGTATACTATCATGCACATGCTAAGATATATGTACAAGCCAATATGGCTATCATAAATGAAAAAAGAGTGTGAAGAACCTGAAAAAATACCTCCCTCAAGTCTTCAAAGTTCTTCATCCAAATTTTAGAGAGATCATCTAAAATAAACATGATCAAAGTAATGTCTGTATACAAATATTAATATACACAACATTGTCTTCTGAAGTACCTGTCTATATGTTATTAAGATTAAGAGCAATTCTCACTTGGCGCCTGCTGAAATTAACACCAAAACAGAGGCTAATTAGTAATTTGTTGATTGTTTGAATATTTCATATCAACGAATATTGGGCATGATGATTCCTGCTTTCCTACGTAAATTACAGCTTAATCATTCCAATAATGCAATTGAATCGTACAAATGGATGAGAAAAATTGATTTGCGATTGATTTCATCGAGGTTTATTCCTTTGTTCTTATGTTATGTTGTCTAATGTCTGTTTGGCCTGTGTGATAAAATATCCTAAAGATGGATTACTTAGTTCTTGCCTAATTTAGGTAGATCAATTGTGCATATATTATATATTTATTCTGAATAAATATGGGTATTTTAATTTAGAGATTGGGTGACCTTCACATCATGTCAATCAAATGCCGTTCACAGCATATTCCAGGCCATAGCCAGCCTTTTGCTAAGGAGGGTTCACATTTCAAAAATTTATAGTGGGGGTTCGCATTTGACGGGTTTTGCCCCAAATCATTTGAAAAGTGTTCAGGGTGGTGAAAAACTGCATGATTTGAAAGAACTTTTGCCCCCTTTCCTATGAGCTACATGCCTGATATTCATAGCTTACAAATGCCAATGACTTTTCCTTGGAGAAACCTGGATCTATATAAAACACATTCCATTGTTCAACTGCCAAAGGGTAAAAAACAAATCTATTAAAGAAATACAATAAAAACAGAATAATGTAAAACTGCAACTGGCAGTAAGGTAACAAAACCTATTGTCCATACCTATGATTAAAGACAGAAAGAAACCAAGTCAAAACATTTACCCAACCCCTTTCCCAATCTATCATATCAAGTTTTCAATAAACTTACTAGATCTTTTTTCTCAAAAGCTACCATCTCCAACATATGGTCATACCCTTTTACACAATATATTCAGTTTTACAACTAGACTCTTCATAGTTAAGAATGATGAAAGTATACCATCTGAGACATATTGAGAAAAGGTGCAACCATCTAATTAGATGCATCTATGTATGGTGTTGGGTAAGGTGTCATGTTTGAATAAGATTGGAGCCAGTTTATAATCCTTACAAATCCAGACAATCTCCTGAAATCTAGATAATCCATCTTTAATCTAGATAAACCATGGCTTAACTTCTATCAAGTAAACAGATGTCTGAGTCTCATACGTGAACAATGTAGCTATGTTTCATTCAGGTTATTGTTTGGGGTTTTGAGTTGGGCATTCAATGGCTGTATTAGTATCTGTAACAATCGTTACACTTTTTCAGGTGGTAATATTTTGTCATGTCAGTGTTCATTTATCAACAGTTATAGAAAAATGATGTTAATTTTGTCAGTAATTGTCTCCAAGTCTTGTGGACAGTGTTTGGTGGTTGGTGTTCAGCATCTGTAACAAATGGCTTGTAGTGACATTTTGCATGTTAATGCCTTGTTATTTTCTTATGGTTCATTTATCTCATCTCCTTAACAAAATTGACTTTGTTCAACCATAGCTGTTGATTACAATTTGACACCTCCCCTTAATGTCTTGCCTTTTTCCCTGAATTGGCACGAAAGTAACTGCATTTTTATAGTGCATGTTTAGACTGAGTTTTGTTTCATCAAATATTAAATCAATAACTATAGCAGCAATAATTACCAGTTTCAGTTTATCGAAAAATACATCAACGTTTTTTGCATTCTTACCTCAGATGTAATAATAGAAGAGGTGGAGTTATCAGAATAGCTAATCGTGACTTATTATTGGAGAAATACTAACTGGCGACGGGGCATTGATCAGCGTGAAGGTCTTAATAAGGCATTTGTTTGTTGTATTACGTATCATATCCCTGACTTCTTAAAGTTTATTTACCCTTGAATTGAAACTATATTTATTATTCGAAAGAATAAAAATTTACTCTGATTTTCATTTTAAATCGGTCATACTTCTAAATACATTGTTTAGGAGCAGTTTTCAATTTTGAAAGAAAACCGAAATCAAGCTATTGGTTTTGAAACTGTTGGCTATAATTGAGTGGTAATGAGCAAATATGTTGACTCATGGATTGTCTTATTTGTTTAATTGACTAATGACATATGAGAATATAGGACAATATTTGAGTAAGAGTATGAAATTGACCTTTCATGCTTTAACTTTGACTTTAAAGCTGCTATAAGTCTTTGAAGTAATCAGAAGCAATATTTCAACAGTAAAAGATTCTGGTATTTGACAATTTTTGGTTCTACCTTAAAAAATTATAAGCGGCACTCTTGACAGAGCTTGGGTTTATAGAAAGAATGCCTTAGGCCTCTTATTTTGTAGGCCTTAAGACTATAGTAAGCAGGCCTCCAGTCCTAAAGACTTTATTTACGAGGCCTTGAGACTGTAGAAAGCAGGCCTCTTGCCAGGCCTTGTAACTATATTAAGCAGGCCATTTGTCAGGCCTTCAGACTAAAGTAAGCAGGCCTCTTGCTAGTCCGTTAGAAGTTAGCAGGCCTCTTTCTAATTCCAATTTTTTTTTTACATGTATTTTAAACGCAGTTATAAATACAATGTATAATAGAATTTTGATTTTACTTCCTTGTTCACAATATACAAGACTTGTATAAAGTCAGCGTATATTTGATGTCATACAAATCTGTTGAGTTCATTTTATCTTTCATCAAACAAAATTGCAATAGACTTTGGACCGTTATTAGACTCATTGATTTGAAGTTACTTACAATGATAAACTATCTGAATATAAAACACAAATTGAAAAATCAGTCATTGTGCTATAAAATCAAAGGTTGCATGACAGATGTTTATATAAAAAATAAAATGTCATGGATTGTTATTCTATCTAAGTCAGCTCTATAGGGCAATTGTTTCTTGTATTTGTAATTTTGTACCTAAATAACTAAAAATTAGAAGAAACTGTCCCATGTAACCTCTAAGATATGTTTATATTATTGGATAATTTCTTCATTTATCCTATGGTATCATGAGTTCCCAGTGAATAACACCAGTACAGTATTTGTGATATTACTCGCATATTGCATTTGTCATACTAGTGCAAAGATGTTATTTGGAAAACATCATTTTCCCAAAATCCCGCAATTAAACCCATATTGAATCTCCCCCATTAAATAACCTTGATGATATCCTTTATATTCAGAAGGATTGTCTTCCCTGGGAGGTTTTCGTCTGTTTTACCAATATGATTCTACCTATATAGACATCATATTACAAGACATTGTCTCCAAATCAAAATATAAGATGTCATTTTCTCCCATTAACAAATTACTTTACTACAGCCAAAGTAGAATTGAGTTTGATTGAATTGCGTTTTTAGAAATGTCACAAATTGATTAAGGCAGATTGTACGAGATTCTCCTATAAGGCTAATCAAATAGAACATTCCCTTTCGAACCAACATCAATTTCATATTTTTATCAAAAAAAACAAATTAAAGAAGAATTAAAAGGAGTCATGGTTACGATATTTGATGCTATTTATATTCTAATCTATGTTGACATATAGAAATGCAAAAATGATTTTCTGGTCTTTGAAACATTAAGCCAAGGTGGCGTTGGATATTATTTGAAAGGGAATTCTGGGTAATCCAAAAGGAATTCTCCGAATTATGAATCATATGGGAGCATGTTAGATAAGGTCAACTTTTACATGTTTGTGTAGATATGATAGTCATAATATGTAGGAGATCTTTAATAATGAAGTTGCACCCAGTTGGTTGTGCTAGATTAATCTTGCACCCAGTTGAGAATTCATCTTCACCAGATCAACATTTTTAAAAGCAAGAAAATAAAAACATTTTCATCAGTTTAGGGTATTTTTAACCAAAAGAGATAAAATGAGATTTTTTCACTCATTTGAGAAAAAATTCAGAAAAATTTTTTCTTGAGAAGATTGAAGTCATACACATTATATGCAACATATGCATATTTGTTGCCTTGTAATCTTTGATAATGTCGTCCTATTTAACGCCTACACAAATAATTCCATAATTGAAACCAAAGATATGTTTATAAGTATACATTTACAGTACATTGTATATGAATTTCAGTTTCTGTTTCGTTTTCATTTTGAATATGATGACATAGTAAAATATGTTGTTTGAGTATTTATTTCTTCAATATATCACCACCCACTCCTCAAACTTGATATCATAAGATATGAGTAATATGTTGTGCTTGTCAGCTGAAAACAGGAAGTGGGGGGGGGGGGGTACAGACATGTGATAGAGTATAAATCTGTATATGTTACATAATATCTCTCTTATATGAACTATTAAAGATATGCTATACAGATATGTAGGTCAGTATTACATAATCGTGAAATGAATAAGTCTGAATATATCATTGGTCAGAAAACACTAAAACCTGCTTGAAACTGTAAAAGTTTATACACTCTATTCCACACTGTGTAGAAATAAAATAACTTACACTATAAGTAACTGTGAGCCAATCATTGCATAGAAAAAACTTTATGCACTGTTTATAAGATTCACTGAGACAAGTGGGTCAATACTTCATGTACTTTATGTGCTCTCACACAATTACCTTCCCTTGCATAAAGTTGCTGTACAGTTATATGTAACTGAATATTGTATATTCATCACAAACAACCTTAGCAAAATGATGGTTCGACGAAATGGACGGTTCGCTAAAACCAATAAATCAGGCAATCCAGGCCAATTTGGAAAGAAACTAGATAGCATGATAGCGAATGAGGATAGTAAGTGAAATATATTTTGCAAAGGTCAGCTTGTAAACTACTGGGTAACCCTAAATGATGAGAAATATGTACAAAATATGTTTTGCATGATTTATTCATATCCCAATGATTTAACTCCTTCAATGCATATAATAAGGTATATACTTAGGTGGTTCAAAAAGTTTTGCAGTTGATGCCATAACTTAAAGGAAAATAGGACTTTTACAATGAAACTTGGTACACATATGTGTTATACATTTATACATTATATGTTAAAAGGAAGAGGTGCGATTATTGGCAAATACCCCTATGGTCAAAATGAATAATTGTTAGGTGTAACATGAAGAATAGAATGTCATATAACTCTTTGGAAAATATGAAAATGCTTGGGCACACATAGGCTGAGATAGGGGCCATTTAGTTTAGTAAGGTTGTATTGCCTTACATGGGGCTGTGCTTCATTGACTTAACATGAGGATATCAGCAGATCCCAATAGAGGCCATTGGTTTCTATTGATTATCACACAAATACCAAAAATACACTATGACCTGAATCGATTGCAAACTTAATAATTTCACAATATGGCACTAATGGTTTATCTCATCAAATGTGCAAATATGAAGTTTGCAATCGATTCAGGTCATACTTAAAATTAAAAGATTGTACATTTTTTCATCATTTTCTCCCTACAAAATGGCTATAGAAAAATGCTCCAAAAACAACTTTTACACTTATCAAAAATCATACAACTTTGTAAAACCAAAGAATCTACTATTTTATTTCATCATGTAGTAACATATTTGGATAAGATGTAGGGATGCGTAGGATGCAAATGGATTTTGACAGACACAAAAATACTTCCTGGTTTGGAATCATATGCCTCTACACTTCATGATTGAATTATGACCCTAATAAGTGGCCTATACATCAATGCAGTGCTGAATATAGGTCAACAAGATACTAGTGTGCATATAAAAGTAATAATAATTAAAGCAGAATACTCATTTTGAAAAATCAGATGAATTATTTTTTTCTCATGGGGAGATCCCAATGGAGGGTGTATAAGGTCCTTTGGGACCTCAATTTTGATTGGTTCTTGAGAGATGGTTGCTAAGGTAACCAGAGTGGTGGGTACCATGTTCAACCCGAAATTACGTTTTTCCAAATAGTTTTCTTGCTTGAATAAACTCTTTGCAAAGTGGCAATTAGCAGGTGTAAGTGTCTTTGGGTGGCTATTTTTCTTCAAATTCTTCAATTTTTTGCCAGCTGTGAACACATTCTGGCAATGCTTTAATTTTAATAGAATTATTTTAATATTTCACTAACTGTATAATATGTAGTTTGCATTACTGTTGATAAATAAATAAATGATTGCACTGTTCAGTAAAGAAATATACTAATTGTATTATTTAAACTGACTATACACTATAGAAATGATTTTCATTGAAAAATCAAATCAGTACCAAAATTATGGTTACCCTGTAGTAGTGAAAGGCACATTAAAAATGAATATCACCCCCTTCAATCTATTTTTACAGGTTTTTATGATTATTTCAGATTTTTCTATAGTATGCGTAACCAGGACGGTGAATTTTCTTCATTTTTCATCAAACATTTTGTCTTACCAATATTTATTATATATGTCAATTTTATCAAAATCGCGCCGCTACGTTTGAAAATAATTCAAATTATGTAGTTTTTCCCATTGAGCTCCATTATAAAAATGGAATTTTCAAACTTAATATTTTAAAATTCTACGCGGTGAAAAGTTGCATATTGAGTAGTTAGTTAATGTTATGGTGTTAAAAATTCAAAACAAAAAGGAATAAAGAAAAAATGCCACAGAGAAGTCTCAATAGAGTCTCTTTAAAAATATGAACATATCTGTAGTTAAATCATCCTCCAAACACAGGCCTCTAGAACTCAGTGAATGACATCTGGAACCCTGCGTTTGGAGTATGTAGTTAAACGTTTTATCAAACCTTTTCATGTGAACACCTATAAATATAAATTAATATGAACACTAAACAATGTTTGCCAGTCCTAGTAGCACAGTTCACATTAAATAGGACTAACTGTTTGTGAGCCTGAAAATACAACACCATTAATTTTCTTATGTGATTTCATCTAGTTACAATTGTTACATTAAAAATTTTCAATATTTATTCATCTTGTTTTGCTCTTTTAAAAATTATTTTTTATGATTCCTTATCTTTATTTTCAGATCCTGCCAGAAAGCCAGCTTTATTTGTTGATGGAAATAATCTCCCAGACCAGGGCATCTATCAACGCACTATTGGTGACAATGTCAGACTTAGGGGTGAATCCTTGGGTAATCCTGCGCCTGTCTACACATGGCAATTTAAAGGCAAAAATGATGACAACTTTGGCAATGTAGAAAACGGTGATATAAAACAAATCAACAATATCCAGTTTGACCAAGCTGGAACATACAAATGTTGTGCTAGTAATAATCTGAATGGCTATGGAGAATGTTCAGAGCTGACAATAGATGTCGTAGGTACGTATGGATCGATTTAAGATATTTTATTCCAGTTATTGTAGAGAACCATCTAGATTTTTTAGAAGATTTGTAATCCATTTTTTGTAGCGAACCATTTTTATTAGACTCAGAAAGATTATTGTCAGTTTTGTACGTTAGATTAAGGATGTATTTGTTTTTTAGTGTATTGTAATGTTATGTAATTGTCATTTTAGTGATTGGTTTTGTAAATTATGTCTATTTTCCATTAGTATACCCCCATGAACCTAATTTCTTTGAATAGATGAAACTGTAAAAATTAACTGAATTTCGTCTCTCAGAAGGATTTTTTAGTTTATTGAACAAAAATGTTAAACCAGTTTGTGATAACTAAATTTGATTAAATATATTTCATCAATCTGATTTGAAATTAATAAACCAATAAAGGCTTTAATTTTGAAAATTAAAATTTGATTTGCTTATATTTCTATTTTAACTTAATTCTCTTATTGTATCGCAGTAATAACTTAGTTTAACTGGCTTAATTTTCAATTAAGATTATTAAAGAATGATTTGCTTTATTAAACAAAATAAATGACTCCCCATTTTATCTTGTATAATAGTTAACTAATTTTAATCATAGAGAACATGAAATTATATCCCACATTTTTGTTAATCCGCTATCACCAAGGTTATATGTAGTTTTGTTATTAATCACATCCCTTCATTTTTCGATCTATGTGAATATTATATACATTCTGCGCACAGCTCCAAAAATGTCTCAATTTAGGTGATCTGTCTACCTTATTAGAGCAATATTTTCATGGAGACATGTGCTAGACTGTATATCCTAATTGTTGTATATTGGTCTTTTTCCTGATGTCTCTCTATCTCTGTCATTAATTGCTTTTACCTGTCACATGTCATCCAATCCCCAGTAGACCTTTATCACATCCTGTTCGATTTGCAATAACGCTTTTTGATGACCCCACCCTCTCTGCTCCAACACATGGTCTCCCCAAAATGATGAATATAAACTATATTCCATAGAGGAAATTAATTTTGCATAAGATATATGTAACCTGAGATTGACAGGTTCTCAAAAGTTGAAAAATTGAGCAGTATATAAATGTCCATTATCTGATCAGATAATTAGTTAGTGTAATTATTATGTTGTTAATCTGCAAATTAGTAACTTAGCTAGATAGATGCAAAATATGAATGATGCCAAGATATATAGTTACGTGATTTATTTAATAATGCCAAGCGCATGCATCGCTGCATATTATCTCTCGCATTTCTACTAAATTCTGTAAAGTTATGCAATGTTACATTTAGAGTTTAGAGTTATGTTTTAGAGCATCTCTATTTTAGGATAAGTCTGCTTAGTATGCATTTTGCCATTTATGTACAACTATCTCCTTAGAGGTGTACAATTTTGCCAGTCTACCTCTTCATGATTTTCATTTTTGTAGACTGTCATCTTGCATTGCAACACTTGGAAATTTAGGTTTACTGATAGAGGTGTATAACTAACCCAGTCTACCTCTGAAAGAGTCAAATATTGTATATTGAATATTACAAAATCAACTAACTGTAGTTTCTTTTTTCGGGAGTAGTCAAGTGATTGTGATTTTAGTATCTACCGACTTTTCTACCTCTGCGCTTGTATAACGCAAAATGTTACCATGGAATGCAAAATGTTACCATGGAATGCAAAATGTTAGAATAGAATGTAAAATGGGAAAGAAGATTGTTACTTAAAGAAAGATCATCAGCATGGTATATAATTTGAGACAATCCTCATATTAATCTGGACTAGATTCTAATTTTGCATACATGTATATAGTCTTGTGATTGATACATGTTTTAGGCTTTTGGCTTGAACTATGATTTGTTGAATCCCTTAATATTTCACCCGTGTACTACTTATAGTTCTTTGTATACCTACATGTGGTATTTTTGGTTCGTTCTATTTTAACTTTTACATCTTCCACAATATACATTTAATATAATGCAAATTTATGAAAATAATACTTCTTAAGTCTGGTAGTTATAAGACAAGAAGATTCATCTGTTGTCAAATTGCCTATTGGGGGAGTGTACCATGGCCTTTGGGAGTATATGCTAAGGTCACAAATCAGTTCAACAAACTCTCAGTTCAATTCCCTATAAAAAGGGATTTTGGAGTTATGATTTAGAATTCAAATTAATTCAGAAAAAAACAAAATCATCAATGAAAAAAGTTAACAGAAATGTAGTCAAAACTCCAAATTGTACATAAATACCAGAAATGGAGAAACTTTATTCAAATTTTAGAGTGAATTTCAGAGAAATAGCATGAGCAGACGGACATTTTAACCATAGGCAGAACTCATATATTATTGTACTGTGCCCATTATCAGGGGCCTAATTAATTGCAAAGATAAGTATAATATTAATTATTGCCAGAAGGGTAATATTGAATCTGGTAGATCTCATTTCAGGTATCAATTTTACATCCATACCCCTTATTAATTGAAATAATATGGGTTCACTATATTCATTATATTGACCTCTTGTCAGAATGATCTTACGTAGTACAAAATAAGGGCTTAAATCTAGTCCACATAAAAAACTATCATTAAATAGAATTATGTCATCATCACAAGTGGTGACATATTTTGTGGACAGTGTTTGGTAGTTGGTGTTTGGCATTCAGCATCTATAACAAATGGCAGGTAGTTTCCTCTTACATTCATAATTTCACGAGGATCAAAATACTAGTAAATGCCATCGTTTTCAATAATTACATTTTGCAATCCTTACATAATTTCTTTAATGTTGGAGGAGGGACATAAACAAAAAGATCTTTGGTTATATAATATCGGCTCTGTTAAATAATTCCAGTTCAAAAACAATATATTGATCTCATATGAAGAGTAATGATGCCCTGGAGTCAGAGAGAACTATTAACAAATATTTATGGCCCATTCCAGGAAGCTTCATCTATTATAATATACTTTTACCCCATGATTGATCACGTAATGTCAAATTATTTCGATGACCTTGTATTGTCTCTGAAGGTCAATTTTCAGATTTTTCTTTGTTGAGAATTAATTTTTGATATGCTGTGTGCTTTATAATCGTCTGTTTTTGTTGTACGTTAATTATGGAGTCAAATAGTTTTCTTTTTTGAAGAAAGTCAATTAGACATATATCAAAGAACTAGGATTTGAAATGTTTCTATCTGATTTTTTGTTATTGCTGTATAATTTATTTTGTTCACTACATGCCTGTTTACTTTATTCCTTGCTAATTTTACTCTTTTCTAGTCTGTCATCCCTTTTACAAAACCACCATCCAGTCTGACTCATTATTTTGCTGACAATCTTGTGATTCAGAAGTACAATCAGTGTGTATAATATATGATATATTGTATAATTGTATATCTGATTTAATGTTGGAGAAACAAATACATTTAAAATACTACATTCAGCTTGAAAAATAACATTCCATTGACCTAACCTCATCACCATGTTAACATTAGACCGCCACTAGTGGTACAGACAATGGGGAAAATTCATAAGATGTTCTCTTTTCCTTATTTTTTAAAGAAGGCTTCATTATCCTGTCAGGTTTTGGTTCATGTGGATTTAATTATAGAAATCAGTACAAAGAAATAGTCATTATACTCATCAATTATAAGACAATGATGGAGTTTTCGCAATGAATGAAATAGAAGGGGTCATGTTTTGAAATGCGAAAAAGAGTAGAAACAAGTGGAATTAGCAAGGAATAAAGTAAACAGGCATGTAGTTGACACTCTAAATTGTACAGAAATGCCAAAAAATCTGACACTTCATTCAAATTTTAGAGAGAAATTGAGTGGAATAAGCATGAGCAGACGGACATTTTGAAAATAGGTATAAAATATCTGGTTTTGCATGTTTAGGGGATTTGATAAATCTTAGTTGACAGTATATATTAGCCATTTCCTATTCAAAATATTTCTGTATTTTCTTGATATTCTTGAAGAAAATCTGACTTGTTACTTCTAAATCAGAAGGTACAATGAACACAATATTTATGCGGGAATTTATTTTCCAATCACGGAACGTGACGAAGATTGCCGACGACACTTTCACAACATTTCTAATGTTTCATTATAGTAGTTGTAAAATGTAAAGCAATGAAAGCTCATTGGTTGAGGTCTGGTCTTCATAATTTCATATAAAAATTGGATACCTTTTTTTATTTCAAAAATAGAAAAATTCACTGTTTCACGCGGTAGTATCTCTTCGGGACGTATCGAAACCACTCCGTCCCGAAAAACCGTTAATTTGAATTTAAAACCTACCCCAGTGTTTGAAAATCAAGGATTGTGAGTCTCACACTTCACCGTTTTTCTTCAAACTTGTTCCGTACAAAGCTTCACAGAAATACCTTTCAGTCGATACATTGTTTTCGTGTACAAAGTACCTCTTTTAGCGGCGTTTTGGTCCCCAGCTGTGAGATAAAGCAAATTTTCATAACTTTCAACTGTAAGTCAAGTTATCTCGCCAGTCTTTTACCCATTCTCGCCCATAATTTCAGAATGGACTCCCATTACAACCTTCCATCGCTACGTCTTGATTTTTGGGCATCAAACGCAGCAGTTTCTAAATCATCCACACATCTCTTCAAATTTGACCAATACGTCCCGTCATCTTCCACTACGCCCCGCCGAGTCTATCACTATACACGTAGAGTTGCATTCTAAAACAATTTGTCCATCGATGTGTCCGTTTGTAGGTTGCCATTGTCGATTCTAAATACCAATCGGATTGTGTTTTAAGA